AAAGATTAATTTCAGTCTCTTTGGAGATCTTCAGAAAAGATTGAAAAGTTGTACCACTTAGCAGCTGGAAAATGTTAATAGTGAAGCAGGTTTTTCTGTTTTAAGCTGCTATAGATCTTGTTTTCTATAAATATTAGTAATGCTTTTCTCAAGCTTACTACAAGTACCTCACAGCTCCTTTTCCAAGGCTAACATCTGCTGCTGCTTTCACAGATGCGGAGGGGCTCCTGAGAATTAAAGAGGAAAACCAGAAGCATTATCGCAGGGCGCAGCGGCATCAGGAGAAGAAAGAGAAGATCCAGAGGCATAACCGCAAGCTGGGAGACTTGGTAGAGAAAAAAACCTATGACTTGAAAACCCAGTATGAGCATCTGGCAAATCTTCGTCGGACGCATATCCTGGAGCTAACATCAGTCATATTTCCCATTGAAGAAGTAAAGACAAGCATGAGGTACAGAAGGCTTATCCTTTTGGACTCATTTTGCTTAGCTTTAGACACTCACAAGTGAGTCACGTAAGTCTAAGCTAGATGCTCTGGCTGCGTTGGCATCTGTGAGGAGAAGGACATGTTTCCCAAAGGCAAAGCATCTAACCCATCAGAATAGAATAGAATAGAAGAATACGGAGAATAATCCAGAATAGAAGAACCTAGAGGTGCTAACATTTCCCTGCTGAGAGATCTGAGCTATGTGTCAATGTTAAACTTTCTTAAAATAGATAATTAAAGCTCCCAGAAAGAAGGAAAGTAGTTTTGGGAATAAGGAGTTTTGCAGGAGTGTTTCTACAAGCATTTTGTTCTCTGTGAAATCTGACTAAGTGCCTGCCAAGTACATTGCTGATTATATTTTTAAAACTTCTTTAAAAACACTCTGTTCCTCTTTGGGTGCCACAGAGATCCTGCAGATGTGTCTGCTGAGAGCGACAATGCTATGACCTCTAGCACTGTGAGCAAGCTCGCGGAAGCCAGGAGAACCACGTATCTCTCTGGGAGATGGGTGTGTGATGATCATAATGGGGACACCAGCATCAGTATCACAGGGCCTTGGATAACCCTTCCTAATAATGGAGACTATTCAGCGTATTACAACTGGGTGGAAGAGAAGAAGACTACGCAAGGACCAGGTAAAGAGCAAGGTCTGATTAAGCATCTGGGATACTCTGGAAGCCATAGAACTTGCAGCCTTGAATGCCAACAGAAGGTGACGAGGAGCAGTACGCCGGTCCGTTTGTTCTGACCCAGACAGACCTGAGCCAGAAATAAATACCAGTATAGGGATTAGTCCACTGAAATCCTCTTTTGCAGGAAATGCTCACTGGGACACAGCACAACGTAATAGAGAGATAAAGTTAATTATTCACAGTTTTGACATGGTTCACATGCCGTCATTTTAACCGGAATTCCAAGAATTACTATTTTCTACCAACTTCTGACAGATTTCACTGTAAATGATTGCTGGATTCAGGCTGTTCCCAATACTTACAAATGACATTTTCCACAGTAGACTTCAGTAACACATTAACACACCCACTGAAGCTTCATTTAAAATGAGACTTTCACGGTGTTTTTATTTCTTTCAGATATGGAACATAATAACCCTGCTTATACCATCAGTGCTGCATTGTGCTATGCAACTCAGCTTGTTAACACTTTGTCTCTAATACTTGATGTAAATCTTCCCAAGAAGCTCTGCAACAGGCAAGTACATGCAAGCCTCTGAGGAGGTGAATCAGTGACCAGTTTTGACTGATCTTAATTAAGTTTGTTTTTGTGAACGAAGTCATCACTTGGAACAGCTTTGATGGTAACGGTTGATGGCTGATGGATTTTTGTGCCGTTTAATTTTGGATGGAGGGCTAGTAGGATTTTAGACCACAGTTAATAGTCCCTGCCTCCTTTTTTACCTCCCAAGAGTGTAGACCAAGCATCATAGTTGAAAATAACAGCTTTCTAATTGGTGTTTTCAGCATCCCCAAATTAGAAATGAAATATGATACTCCATGAACAGCACTTTTCATTTTACGGGACCCTACTGTGCTTTACAAAATCCCAGCCCAATTCAGCAACTCTTAGTCATCTTGAATAGCTCTACTACATTAAGTGCTGTAGAATGAGGCCTTATAATATGGCATGACAGCAATGTAATTCTTTTTAGGATAAAACACCAATGGGGAACGTACCTGCCTGCCAGACATGTGGGAAGGTATTGCATAAACCCTATTTGTGATGAAAAATACTGTTAGTTTTTAATGTCTATGAGGAGCAGATGGGATCTGCAGCGAAGAAGTACTGAGGAAGTTGTAGACCTGGTCAGTCTTCCGGAGGTCTCAAATATGCTGCTGAGATTTTTTTAAGTGTTTAATATAGTGGTTGCCAAAGTGAGAGCACAAAAGTTCTGTAGGGTCTCTGTAGGTTTTTTTATGCTATTATTTGGGTGCCCAGTCTTCATGGAAGGAAAAGGTTGGGAACAGAAAATGATGCAAGATTTAAAAGAAAAGCCGAAATACCTTGGCTGCAGTAGGTCTTTGAGTTTCATAAAATTTACATCACCTGTCCTGTTGAAACCAGTGAGACTGGAGCAAGCAGTGCTTGTTGATGAAATGCTAACAGTCTTGGTAAGGTGAAGAATTCATGTCCTGGGCACCCTAAAACTGGTTGTACACTTTAAACAAGTGCTCACTACTCGGGTGTTTACTCTGGGATTTGTTAGGAAGCCAGGGCACAGAATGCTGATGTGTCCAGTAGATGTATTTTCACAGCATTTTGCTTTCTGTGTGTGTATATATATATGTGTGTATGTGTGGTGTTTCAACAGTGAGTTCTGTGGAGAGAATCTCAGCAGACACAGGTTCACACGGGCAGTGAAGAAGCTGAATGCTAATATCCTTCACCTTTGCTTCTCTCAGGTAGGGAGAATGCACATTTGTATTCTTTAAATAGCTTTTAAAATATCTACTGTGCCTGGAGGTTTCCTTCTGTAATTGATCGTGTCTTTTTCTTACCTTCCCCATGGTAGCATGTAAATTTAGATCTGTTGCACCCACTGCATACGCTCAGGAACCTTATGTACCTGGTCAGCCCAGACACTGAGAACTTGGGCAGGTAAGAAAAGCAGTATCTCAACTCACCTGTGACTGAATCCCTTTTGAAGTTATGCATTTGCCTTGTAACTTATAAGGGACGTTTTTCTCTTCTGCTGTACCTATAGATCAGTCCTCAGCACATCAGAAATCGGGGTAGTTACAAGGAGGAGATAGGAGAGGACAGAAAAAGGGGGGTCCCGAGTAGGAAACGAGATTTCAGAGCTGTGTGTATGGCAGGCTCAGCTGGAGGCTTTGTGGCTGATTATAGACTTATTTCCCCAATGCCCAGAAGCAGGAACGCCTTCCCTCCAGGGGACAGCAGCACTTATGCCAGGCAGCCTCCCTGTGCTCCAAACATGACCTTGCCCACACCTTCCCAACATGTAAATACCTAAGAGCATCCAGCAACATAAACCCTAAAACAAATACGAGGTAAGCTTTCCCAAAATACGTCCAGCCAATGAACACCCTAGACCAAAGTCGACACTCCAAGTAATCTTAATTTCAACATAAATTAAGGTTAAGGCAACTTTTCTGTTAATTTAGTACATGGTGAAAAGAACATCAGTTCCTGTGGGCTGCACGCACCAGGCTTAATAATCTTCCTTTTTTTTTTTTTTTTTTTTAACTTCTATTTAAGAAAGCCAACAACATTGATTTCCTGTTGGGATAATCCAGTCACAAGTCACTTGACTGAGACAGTCTGCAAATATTTGTTTAATCTGAGTACTGCTTTATTCCCCCTTACACACAGTAATGTTCTGAAATCGACTTTTCTGCTTTGTTCTCATGTGCAAATCTAGTTTTATTTAAAAACCTGCAGTGCCACTAAGGGGAACTGAATGCATGCTTCTGACCACTTACTTTATGTTCTTTGGGTTATATCCCTACTGATTCAGCCCAAAGATATGAAGAGCCAAATCTTAATGTTAACATAGCTCAGTTTGGAAAAAATTATGTGCTTGCTGCTGCTTGTCCGAAAACAAGGAGAGTGCAGGAAATACCCAGAGTGTGAAGAACTGTGTCCTGGAAAGCAGCTGCTGTAAAAGATCCAAGTGCCGCAGTGGACAAAAAGCTAAGCCCCACTGATCCCTGTGGTATGAAGTAAAAGGGAATGAGCAGAGAGATGGGTCTCACTTCTCATAGAATCATTAAGGTTGGAAAAGACCTTTAATATCATCAAGTCCAACCATCAGATGTCTCTATGCAAATGTTACAGAGCTCCACACACATCAGTCGAGTCCATGTAGTAAAAGAAGAGTTTACAGGAAGGAGTCAGAGAAAATACCTACCAGTGAGGGCAATAGTTTAGCCTGTGTAAAACTGTCTTAGCTTGCTAGAGATGAGATTGAGAGATGACTTGATTTCCATGACTTCATTGGAATGGCTTTGTAGACACCGTTGGAGGCAAAGAGTCTGAGCTAAGCTGAAATGAGGTGCATGCGCTTAGCACAGAGTTTAATTACCCGCGAGAATGAAGGTGGGGATTCTGTGTTTCCTTCTGTCGTCCGGTCAAGGCTGGATGAGTTTCTGGAATGGATGGATGCTTTCATCAGGCAGAAGTTACTGTACTCAGGACAGGGGCAATGGGTGGAACGTAATGGCCTTTGTTGTAGAGGAGGTCACTCGAGATGATCTAATGGTCCCTTCTGGCCTTAAATCTGATGACTCTCTCCTTATGTTGCTTTGTTAAGCAAAATGCTTTGCCAGAAGGCAGCGCTCCCGTTCCTTTCTGGATTATAAAAGAGGAGTGTTTACCTTTGATTTCTCAGCTGTCTGCAAAGTTTGCAGCAATCTGCTCTCTTTATTTTCCTTTGGATGTCTAGGCCTATAGCTGCCTGATAGTCTCCTTTATAAGCTACTGTTTTCAGACTCATACAATTTTACCAAGCTTTAATTGTCTGGATTAAAATTTTCCATGCTAAATCACTACTTTAGGCTCCTTCTCCCACTAAGGCTGGAGAAAGACTTTTACCTGTGTTAAATTCTTGCTCCTGTTTCACTGAGAAGCTTTGTGCTTTGCAATGAACTTGTAAATGGCTCAGTAAAGACGTTTCTGATTTTGGCTGCCTGCACAAGGCAGTGGGACGGGGCGGGATGCAATTGCTGCTCCCACCAGGCAGTGGCAGCAGGGAACTCGGAGTCACAGCCCAGGTGGCTTTGGGCCGGGACCTCTGGAGATCCAACCCACCGCCCCACTCAAAGCAGAGCCAACTTAGAGCAAGTTACTCAAGACTGGCCGGTGGGGTCATGAATGTCTCCAGTGATGGAGACTCCACAGCCTCTCTGAGAACCTGTTCCAGTGTTTGACCAGCCTCATAGTGTGAAAGACCTTGAGCTGTTGCTCAGGGTCAAGTGCTATGAGAAGTCTCCCCTAGTGAGTTGTGCCAACCCGGTTCTCTTAAGTTGTAAACTACGCCCTTCCCCTCGCTGACAGAGCTGCAGCCGTCTTGGCCTGTTAAAAATAAAAGCTGTTCCACATCAAGCTGAGATTTCCACCAGTGGAGCTGTGAGTTATTATCAACAGCATTTTCGTGTGTGTGTGTGTTTTACTATCCACTGGCAGAGCAGAACAGCTCTTCCGCCGTTCCTGCTCCATGGATTGGAACCCAGCTATCACTTCCTTGGCCAATTGTTTTCATTTCACCATTGTCATAATACAGTTATCTCTGTAGCCAGCGAGTTTCTCTTTGCCAGCTGATAAACACAGAGGTATTTTAATTTCTCTGCTGTACACAGGACAGAGCAGGGTGTGTTGGCATGCCTAGGACTTGGGCCAGTGAAGTGAGAGTCCTTCTCCTGCGTGGTAGCAAACGGGCTGATGGCATTGTGTCCATGTTCGCAGGTCTGGGCCTTTCGAAATCAGCGCTGATCTCGAAGACTCCATGGAGTTTGTGGATCCCAGTGCCACCGGTGAAACAGATGAGAGCGGAGATGAGCACATCAGTGATGAAGAGACAGACCTAGGGACAGATTGGGAGAATCTGCCAAGCCCCAGGTTCTGCGATATCCCCTCTCAGCAGGTGGAGATGCTGCAGAGCCAGAGCACGCAGGTATCTCAGCCCATTGCCAGCAGCAGCGCTGGTGGAATGATCTCGTCCGCTGCTGCCTCGGTGACCTCGTGGCTGAAGGCGTACACTGGACATCGCTAACGAGCATGGGAAAAGGATCATAGGATTTGTGGAAGGAATCCCTCCCCGACAATGCTGTAGTAAACCTTACATATTCAGTTAAGTAGTGCCTGGAACAAAGAAAAGGTCAGACTTTCATTTTGTAAACCAGAAAAACCTTTTTATTTACCCAAGATGACTGTGATGGTACCATTTTGTAAATTAGCTAGCTACGTACTTCTGACGGATTCTGTGACGGCACTTTGTGTCTTTGTTCTGTCTGCGTTGTTGAGTATCAAAGAAAGATGACCCGGCAGCCTCCAGCTCTACTTTCTGAAAAAGAAACAGATTTTGGAGTATTTGGATTGGGACGAGTACAGAGAGAAGGCTGCTCAGTGTGCAGCCTGGACAGTGGTGCGAATGCAGTTCACATTTTCTTAACTCCTTACAGGGTTTTCGTTAGTGTGTGTGTTTTAAATCTGTCTTGTGTAATGCAAAAATGCGTATTTCTAAATTTTTTTCATTCAGGACATGAAAATTATGCATTTTTAACATGTTTTCTAATCTCTGTTGCCATATTTTTTAATACAAAGAGTCAGCATGGACAGGAGTTCACACAGCGAGCTGCTCCTCGTTTAGATTTGGTTGTGAATCTTTACCCAGTTTTGCTGTAGAAAACTGGCTTGTTTCATGCCGTTTCCACCAGTAGGTAGTTTAGAAGTTTCATGTTGTGCTGTCCAAAGCACACAGGCTCTTTACTCTTGATATCATACACCAAAGAAACACTGGACGATCTCTTAGCTAGACCCACATTTGACGCCAATACAGGATTGCGTTGTTGCAATAATATTCATCAGTTACAACACCATGTTGCCACTTATTAATATTAGAAAAAGCTCATTTCAAGTTAGTTTAATGAAGTCACACGGTCTCCACACTACACGCATTTTAAACCCTATTCTATTTTATGTTTATGGTGGGGTTTATTTTTCTTTTCTTGTTTACTGAATGCCAAGAAGTTGATTTCATTTCACTGCAGAAATGCTCACAGCGCAGCTGGCTCGCATGTAAAACTACGGGAGGTGCGATGCTGACAGATGTGTTGGTTAACAAGTGCTCCTCCGCTTCCTCTGCCTTGTGGTATGTATTCCTTAAAGATGGGTTTGCTCAGTGAAGCTTCCAACGTATGGTTTACATTTGATATAGTTGGGACGTTGTACTTCTCCACGGGGTAAACTAATGTAAAAGCATCCTCCCACCGCTCCAGGAGGGAAGATTTCTGACACTCTTCCCTGTAGCTTCCCCGTGGCGACGCGGCTCGTAACGGGGGCCCGGCGAGGCCGCAGGGAGCGAGGCACAAGCCGCGTCCCTGCCATCAGGCAGTGCCCTGCCGCGCGTTTGAAGTCCCAGCTCCGGGGCTGGCTTACCCGGCCATCTCATGGAGTGTTCCTGGCGGGTTTGCTCTGTTCCTCTCCAGGCCAGCCAGCGCTGCCTCCCGTCTCCACTGAGGAGCGGGTGGAAAAGCAGTCCCGGTGCTGATGCCCGTGTACCCCAGCGAGCTCCACACCAGCGGTACTGGCTGAGGATCGCGTCTCCCTGCCCCTCTCATACGGCAGCTCTTTCTCTTTGGCCTTGGGCACGGGCATCTGTTGTTGGTAGTTTCGGTTTTGTTTTTTTTTTAAACCAAAGACCCTTAACTCCACACTAACAGCACACGCGTTGTTAGATGAAGACACCCTCAGTCTTACCATTCTTCTGGTCTAAATCCAGCGGTTGGGTTCGTTTTAAGAGAACAGCCCAGACTCCCTGGCCTACCGCAGCCTGAACGGGCGACGGTGCCGCCCAGACCCCAGCAGCGAGCGGGGCCGGGGGCCTTTGGTCGCTGTTCAGTTCACAGCACTTTACTCACTTGCAGCTATCGGATCCCTCGCAGTTCTGAGCAGCCAGCACGCGCTCACCAGTACTGTATATTGGGCTCCTAGCATCACACAGCCCCTTCTGGTTCCCCATTTATTTTGCACTGGACCCTGCCATAGAAATATCTTCTCTTCCTTTTTTTTTTTTTGTTGTTAATATGCATTTCAGTCACTCTTTCATTGCTGCCTTTGTGCTACTTTGAACCCCTGAAGGTCAGGCCATGATTCTGCTTTGTACACTGTCATTTCCCCCACTGGGGGGGGAAACAAAATCTTTTTAAGCCATATACTTCATAACCGTCATGTTTTCCAAATAATTTATTTGCAACCATGTCACATTCTGAAAGTGCACAACAGCACTGCAAGGGTGGTAAAATGCATTGGGATAGGTCTTCTCATGAAATGTTTTTGTAACAGATTGTGGTTTGTTGGTGTGTGGTTTTTTTTGTTGTTTTGCACATGTGTAGCTGAGGAAGAATTGTGTGCGTCCAAACCTTGAGTGCAATCGCCAGGACTAGTTTTCCGGGTTGTTTTGGGGGCGAGGGGGGAGGGCAGGAATATCTGTAATTACAGATATTTGAAGACAGCCAGCTGAGAGTTTACAAAACACTTTGCGTAGTATGAATGCAGGAGTTTCAGTTTAGGCCGTGACTTTTGTCGTGACTGGTGATCTGGGGTGGCCGATCTCTGAGCTGCCACGAAAGTACCTGATTTCAAGAGCCCAGCCCTCCACTGAAAATCGGGTGCCTTTGAAGGGTCTCAGGTGGGACACCCAAGGGTTGCTTGGCACCTGCAAAAACTCGGGGCCTCTCTCTCCGACTTCCGAACTAGATGTAACTAAACACAAATGTTTTGGGTTTTTTTTTCTAAATTTTATTGTATTATTGCAATAAATCTTTAACAGTAATTTTTTTAAAGTTGTATATTTATAATTGTTACTTGTGTGGTTTGTTTTTAACCATGCTGGGGAAGTACGCAAGAATTTCCATCTTTCAAAGCATCACAGGGACCAGACCTGTTACAGTGCAATCGTACAGCAGTGCGATAAGCAATACCCATTCTAAAAAAAATACTCTTACATAAAATAACTGCATCTCCATTGGAGCAGGTAGAGGAGTCCTGCCAAACACACACACATACACACCTTCCTATATATACATGTAAACTGATTAATCTCCCCTGTAAGCCTGGCTTTGAACTGCTCCGCTGCTGCGTGACGCTTCTTTCTGCAGGGGCTGAGCCTGAACCACTTCTGCGAGCGAGGGAGGTGGCTCCTCTTCACACGGTCACTTCAGAAGGATGCAAGCACGTGTCTTTGGAAGGAGGTAACCGCTAAAGTGAACCCTCGTCTGTCTGAGCGACGGGGATGGGGAAGGCCCACGTTTGTCAGCAAGAGGCAGGCTCTGCCAGCAGGACCTGGTTTACTGGCTGCTGAGTGATGGAGGGGAAACAACCCATCCCACTGGATTTTTGTGGGAGCTACCTGAGGGGGAGGACCGATGCCCCAAGATCCCTGGCTGCTGCATGCCCGAGAGCAGGAGCAGCCTGCGGCTCCTGCATGCGGAGCTGGGGCAGGTCCCAGCATCAGCAGTCATGGCCGTGCAGGAAAGCAGCCTGTGCACAAAGCCAAGCCTGGCTCCAAGCTCGGCTCATGCCTACAGGTTGCTTAAGTAGAAGTGACCTAAGCAGTGCCAGCACCAAGAGGTTTTGTCCTCTGCCAACACTGGTTTGTGACAGCAGAGCAGCCCCGTACCGCCCCGAGTCCTCTCCCCACTCTGGGGTTGCAGGGACCAGCCCAACACAGGCTGGGGAGGAGAAAGAGCCCGGCGTGAGGCTTCAGCACCTTGCAAGGTGTAGGAGTCGCGACGGAGGTCAGATGCATCAGTGCAGTTCTGTGCAGGGGTGAAAGGACGGTTCTGGGGGCTGGCACAGGGGCAGACGCTGCCGAAAGTGAGCTGGGGCAAAGGCACGGGAGCTGAACTCGGATGAAGCACTGCAGAGCCTCGCTTTGGGGAGCAGGGAACAGGCAGAATGGAGCAAAAGCCCAGCCACAAGCCTCAGCCACGGGTGGCTTTTTCAGTGGTGTCCATGCCAAAAGACCCCCAGAGCTTGATGAAAACTGGAAGCTTATGAACAATGGAGATATTATTACAATTCCTTCACAGGCAGATTTGGAAATGCAGTTCAGACACTTCAGCTGCTCCCAGGCAGGGAAGTCAAGCACACAGCAGAGTCTTTAGTCCTCAGTTCTTCTGAACACTTAATTTTCTAAAGCTGATGCTGGCCTTTTTTGGGGTTTAATTGATGATTTCCCCCCCCACCCTCCAAGAGGCAGGGTGTGGCTTCTCCCTGAACTAGCCCTTAAGGAAACAGAAATCTGCACTTTTACTGCTTTATGGGAAAAAATGCTTGCAGGCAACTCAGCATGGCTACATTCAGAACAACCCACTTCTAGATGCAAAAGGTTGTTCCACAAAACAATTTTTAAGAGCAATACTGTGCAACAGCGATAGTTCCAGCGAACAGTGTATTAGCTGATGCATAAAACAGCCCATGTTCCTCAGCCAGCTTAGGGGCAGGGTGGGGATGGGTAGGGTAGACAACAAATTGTCCTCTGAATTTAACTGCTCCAAGGAACAAAATAGCCCAATGCTATTATTTTATTCTCATTTTTCCCCTTGTTCAACAAAGGTGACCAAATTCTCACACCCCGTTCCAAAAAAAATTACCTCACTGGCCCCTTATCTAGTTACAAAATATTTTCCTCCGCTGCTTCTATTTCAGCCTCGCAGGGACTTTCCTCGCTGCTGTCAGCCTGCGGCAGGTTATCTCAAGTTTTCCAGTCTTGGGGGGGGCAGGAAAGCAGTTTCTTCCCCCTCTGCCTTAATTGAAATTAAGCTGAAGGCCTTTGATGCTGATGGCTTTGGCAAGACAACTCCTTCCAGAAAGGTGTTTTGCTGCTTGTCCCAGCACAGCAGATTGAAGTTCGGGTGAAGCCTGTGCCCCGTTAGAGAATGAAGTCACAAATTAATGAGGGATCCTGCTTTTCCTCTCCCTCTTCATGCCCGATTACAAGACAACCACACCCTCCTTTTAAATTTCTAATTTCATTCCTCCTGGTTTTCATAATGTCTGCTGCATTGCAGAGATGGCTGAGCAGCAGTGGGGAGAGGTGCCCAACACCCAGGGTCCCAGGGTTGTCAGGCACCAGGAAAGCAGGGACTGGGGGGATAGCATCCTTTTTAAGTCTACCATGAGCATCCTGAGCTTACCAAACCCCCATTGCAGGCTTTAAGGGCTCAGTTTTCTCTCTTGCTGTTAACGGGGAGAATAAAAGCATGTGCCTTCGACCCCTCTCCGTCCTCACGTTCTAAAACACGAGGCACTGCCTGCGCTCCCAGCACCGTTCTGGGCAAGCGCAGGCGAAGCAGAGGGAGGTGGGTGCTTCAGCCCTGCCACCCCAGTCAGCAGCTCTCCTCACCCCTCCGATCTTGTGCCAAAGGTTAGAGAAGTCATGGAGCTGCCCCATACAGATGCGACTCCCTGGCCCTGGTGCTCCCTTGGGGTTTGCAGGGCAGCGGAAAGCCCAGGGTGAGCCCTGTGGGAAGATCGCACCGGCTCTTCTTGTGCTGGGTGGGAGATGTTGTCTGCTGCAGTTGCAGTGGTGATGGCTGGGAATCCACCCTCGTTCTGGGAAGGGGCAGAGAAACAGCCACAGCATGAAGTGCAAGGAGAGGAGGGACTCAACAAGGACACGACTGCTGCTTTCCGCTTGGCTCCCATACCCTGCAAAACGGCTACTGCTCCACTCTGCTCCCAGGAACTGAAGGCGGCTGTAGGGTTGCCCAGGGTGCATTCCCAGACTTCCAAACTGTTCATCCTCAGCACGAGGAGGGCTGTAACTGGAGGCTGGAACACAGCACTGCAGGAGAGGAATGTGTTCAAGGAGGTACTCAAATAGATGCCACGCTCAGCTCCCATTTGGAGTTTGAGGAGTTACAGTTCATCTGCACTTCTGCCACAAATGTTCACAACTCCCCGCTGAAAGCACCACCTCACACCTCAGAAACAAGATGCCAGAGGCTGGAGCGGAGCAGGGCGAAGCCCTGCAAGGATTCCCCTTGCAAGGGAAAAATTCCATATACAGCAGCCAGCAAAGCTTCCAAGCACATTGCTGAGCCAAGGCAACTCTGCTTTCATCCCACTGCACCCATGCTCTGTCCTCAAGCACCCAGGGCACAGCTGAGGGGCCGAGGCAAGAGCTGAGAAGCAGGACTCCAACCAAAGAGTCCCAGTTCTTGCAAGTCTTACAGGCGTAGCATCAGCTTTCCAGACAACAGGAGTCTCCGTCAAGCCGCTGCTGCACGTACAGCTGATGGAAGGGCAAGGAAAACCTGGAGTTTGTGAATGTTACAGCAGGAAATTCTCCAAGGAATACAGGGTTGGGGGGTTTTTTTGTTTGTTTCTTTTTTAGTAGGACGACTTGTTTGCTACAGGAAGTACACCGCAAGTCTGAACCATATCACAGTACCAAGTTTCTGCCATGTGTTTTACAGTATTTTTATTTTGGGGCAAGAGTTTTACAAGAGAAAATCAGGTAAGGCAGATCTAGAATGCACATTTTATTTACATAAAAAACAAACAAAACAACCAGACAACATGGGTAAGGTAGACAAGAACTTTTTATATTCTGACTATACAATAATATTCCTCTCTTTTTATCCACTGCCACACTACTATAATGGATCTGTTCTAGTTTAATTTTAAGGTTGTCCAGTTAAGTTGTCTGAAAATTCTTTAAACAAGTTGACCTTTACCTATTTAGAGTTTCTTCTCAGAAACATTCATATATTATACAGGATATACAGATTTTGAAACAAGACACTTAAAAACACACACAACTATAGCCGCAACACTATCATAGCTGCATTGTAGTGATTACGTTGTTCAGCCAGCTGTAGACTCTGTATGTACAATTAGTTTTTATAGTGTTATTTACATAGATGGACTAAAAGCTATCTTTAATCTAAAAGGTAAAGGCTCTTGTGTTTAAGTATGTGCAGTTTCATAGCCCTGTGAAAAAAAAACAAACACGACAATTATATACACTGTAAACAGCACAAGGCATGAGAAACTCCTCCTACCCCAAACAATCTCGCAGGAAAGTGTATGTGCACTAATATTCCTCTTCCATGTCGGCTCCCGCTCCTCTGGTTTTCTTATGTATAGCACGGTTAAAGCTGTGGCAGGCAGGAACCCAGTGATTGTCATGAAGACCTAACTTACAGCCTGGGATGCCCTTCTGAGACCGGTGACAGCACATCCAGTACCCAGGCCCGTAGGGTAAAGCTTGACAGTATGGTTTGGGATGCCACCGGCACAGCGATACGTCCCCTTTCACGTACTTCTTCTTGCACTGCTTGCAAGGGTCTTCTCTGTAGCGGGGATCACGGACCCAGCGGGAGTCTGCTGGCCTGATGTTGTAGTATTCAATGATGAATTTGAAGTAGTAGCAAGTGCATTTTAGGGCAACCAGACTCCTAGTAGGAAGCAATCCAAAGATCTTCACTATGATGTGGTGAGGCAGGAAGGCCATATACTGCTGAGGCTCCAAAAGCTGCTGAATTTTAAACCTGGTCTCCAGAAAGTCATGTGAAACCTGCCTTTTTAAGCAGGAAGCATCGAGTACTTGCAAAGTCCCTTCTGTCAGAGGAACAGAAAGGGCAGATGGCTCTGTAGGGACACTGTTTCCAACATGTGATCTGTCAGATGCCAAAGCATCCTCATCTTGGGCTACTTCTCCTGGCTTTTCTTGGGTACTTTGCCGTAGTGGCTGTTGCTCACGAGCAGCAGGCTGGTCAGCCTGGAGAAAAAACAGCCTCCCTGGGAGTGGATCCTCGCTAGAACTGGAGTTCAAGAGCTTCTCTTTCCTGCACCCTTTCTCAGTCTTGGTGACAGATATACTGATACATAAGGGCTCCTTCCTAGCAGGATGCAGACTCTGCTTTGGGAAAATTACAGGCTCTTTTGACATACAATCAACAGTCATGTTCTTGCTCTGCAAGGAATCTGGTGGCAACCCGGCAGCAGCTGGACACACAGACGGCAGCGGTCTGGGAGGCTCAATTCGTGTTTCAGAATCGCTCCTGCCAACAGTTATTGCCAACACTGCATGAGCAAGTCCCGAATTCACATTCCCCATCCGAGTATCCAGCCCAGAAGGAAAAGGCTGCTCAGCAGAGGCAGCACCATCCCACAACTCAGTGTCACCCAGAGGACCACACCGCCCTCCACATCCAGCCTCTGCTACCCCTGCCTCCTCCAAGCCATCCCCTGGGGCCAGGACCCCCAAGGAGACCTTCCCCACCTCTCCCTCGGGCTGGGTGCCGTTCGCCAGGAGCACCCTCCCGACGTTTCTGCGGAAGCTGTTGTTCCGCGAGAGGCTCCCGGCCTCCCGCTCGCTCTGGCGCTTCAGACACTCCGACTCCAGCTTGGCCACCATGTCCAGCACGCGCACGGGCTCACTCTGCTGCTGCTCGCTACTGCCGCAAGATCCCCTCTCCGTGTGTACCTCGCATGCCCCGGCAGATGAGAAAGGGTCCGAGCTGGGAAGCGCACCTTTAGGCTGAGCGCTCAGCCTCGTAGTAGAAGCAGGCGGGCAGGTTTTAGCACAGTCGACCAGTAAAGCACTTGCTCGTTGCTCCAGAAAGGCTACCATCTCTATCACAGAGAGGGACCGGCCCGGGAACACACTCTCACCGTTGTCATTCACGTAATGCACCGAACAGTGCTCGATGCCACAGGCAAAAGGCTCTGGCTGGGAGCACCTCGCGTTCGCCTCCCTCATTCTTTCCAGTTGAATTTTGGCTTTTTTAAGATCTACTGATTTTTTCCTGCGTTTAGCTGTTCTTCCGTCGATATCCCACGTGCTTTTAATTTTCATGGAGCCTAGCCGGTTGTTGCTGCTGCATTGCTGGGCTGCAAAGAACGCAATCTTCTCCTTTGTATTGCCAGGTTTCACTACAGCCCAGACATCCAGAGGCCCTTCCCCTTCTTCTCCCTGGTGGATGGTTGCAGATAGGGCGTTCTTCTTTTCCCTTGCACTTGGACCATCTGCTGGACCTTTCCCGTTCATATTGCACATAGTATTTGGATAAATAATCCCCAGAAGCTTTCGAGATGGAGTCCCGAGGGAGGGTTTTGGGAAAACGCTCAGTTTGGTGCAGTTGTTGGTGTATTTTTCTTCTTGTGCTGATCTCTGATGGCTCATAAGTGGGCCTCTCAGGGAATCCTGGCTTATTTCTGAAGATCGCTCTTTCTTCTGTAACTTGAGATATGGCTTTAAGTGCATACCAGAAACCCTAGAAAAACAGAAAGGCAAGAAGTTATAGTTGTGAAATACACCTGCCTGGAATTAGAGAAGGTGGCCCGGAGCAGGCACCAGCACACCTCCTACTCTGCGTCAAGCAGCCCACACCTCAAAAGGAACCACGTGAGAAAGGAAAAGCATCCACCAGGCTGCAGCATCCACCCTTGGAGAACTTCCTGCTTTATGATCATAGAGATCGCAGAGATCTTCCTATTAGAGAAATCTGTTTCCAGGGAGCTGGAAGGAGAAATCCTAACATTTAAGTTCCATCCATTGTGCAAACATAGCTAGAGGTTTGTTCTAGAGTTAGAGCCAACCTTCTGTCCTTTAATTTTTTAATCCAGTTGTAAAGCACATGTTGGGTCCAAGGGTTCATTTTGTCACTAGCTACCATTTTTATA